TCGGACTGCCAGCAACTTCTTGGAGAGGGTGTTGAAAGCATTCCCGTTTGGACCAGAGAGTTTCCTCTGCAGGAGCGAGAATGCCGATTTTGATTATGGTGTTGTGTATGCGGCACTTGGACAGAACACCATTCAAAAAGCGTCGGTATCAGCTACAAGTGTGCGGAATACTCTCGGCTTGGATGTGGGCACGCTCCTTGTGACATCTGAATTCGGTTTGGCATCTTTGGCGCCACAGGCAGAGGCATATGGTACCGCGTTTTGGTGGGACTATGTGATGTCTGTTGATGGCTTTGGGATCAATTTTACATCTTTACCAGAGTTCGAGGCGTTCACCATTGCCAAAAGCAAATCATCGTCGACGACTGACCTGGCTTCAACCTATGTGGCTAATCGCAAGACTGAGTCGGAACGTAGGGGGAGTAAGTTTCTCGCATGGGCGGCTGTGCGTCAGCTTCGGAGCGCAAAAATGGCAGCACTTTTACTTGCTCAAGAAGTCTTCAAGGTTGCCACAATATTTTTAGATGCGGACACACTTGTTTGTGACTCATTATTGTCTGTATTCAAGGTCGTCCTACCTTCAGGGCCTTGGTTTGCGTTTGTACCAGCGCCTTCAGAACACCACAGTTTGATACTACAACGCATGTACGGCATTCAGAAAGGTGATGTGCCACCTGAACCCAATACAGGCATTGTGGCTATCTCCAACTGCGATGGTGCCCGACGTGTGCTAAAACGATGGAATGAAGTCTACTGGCACGAGTCTCTTGCTCTCGGATCAATCCAAAATCCAATGGATCAACCACCGCTCCGAGCTGCGCTCTATCTCGAGGATGCCTCATGGATCTCCCTGAACAAAGTCTTCAATTGCCGAGGCCACGTTAAGAATGTGAACGCAGCATTACCAATGCGTTGTGGTGGATTCGATGCCGCTCACTGGGACTCACTCGCAAGATCTTCTATCTTGGAGGCTGTTGGTACAGCCCAACTAAGAGGTGCATCCCTGAGCTTGGCACAGATCATCCAGGGTGGCATTGGCTGTACGGTGCTGCATTCCCATGCAGTACCCAGGGCTGCGAAGTGTCTAAGCGGCTTTCAGAGTAATGCACTCGTAGTGCTTGACGAGAAATTAGAACATCACAGATTATTTGGTTTTGGCCTGGAAAAGATATCTGACGCCTTAAATGATGGAGGCGATCTCATTACAAGGGCGCCACTTGTTGATAGCACAATATCAACATCACAGCCGCATGCGATCATTGCCATATTTCACCTTCCTATTTCTCCGAAACTGCCGCAAACGCCCGTGGTGGTCCAGGACGCGTCAGACTGGAGAAGAGGCAGTTGGAGAAACCAAACCGTCGTTGTGGGGCCCATGTCGAAAGATGCATGCGCAACAGTTTTGATGCCTTGCGCTATCGTGCTCGTGCTCATAAATCCTCTTGTTCAACTCACTGCAGATGGAGGTCTGAGCGAATCAAAAGATTTCTTTCAAAAATTTGAAAGAGGTCTGCATATCCATGACTCTCAAATATTAGCGCTACGGCGACATGCCAGGAAACTACCGCTTAATGGAGGCACACTGCTTGATGCTCTATTACCTCTGGATGCCAGCGACTTGGGATTTGTCGATGATCCCAGAGCCAATAGGGTTGATCGCTACGGTATTGGTGGTGCTGCTGAGGTCGCAGACGCTGTTGCTAGACTCAAAACCGATAACTTCCTGGTACTTCTTGCTGATGATCCGCAAAATTCTAGAATCATTCTGAATGCGGCATTCAAAACACGCTCGGATGCACGCACAGCTGCCCTACACACCCTTGATGCTATCGCATCGTTCGACATTAGAGGTCGCGAGTCGCTCAAGGCTTTGAATCAAAGTTCAAGGAGGTTCCTCAGGCGCCTCCTCTTCCGCGATATGCTAGTATATGGCGCTGCTGCCAGGCTCTTTGATGCCCAGTATGACGCAGCTCGCAGAAAGAACCAGTAAAACACGCAGTAAACTGGCGAGTGTCCATCGAGCTGCCCGCCTAGAAACTTCGCCGCTCTAGAGGCGGGGGATTTTCCGAGTCTGACTTGCCGTGATTGGGGCTGCCCCTGCCGCCCGAGATGGTCTCGATCCGTTCCATACCACCATGGGGTCGGGTCCAGACCATCTCGGGCGGCGAGACCCCACCCCAGGCGCCTCGGGCTGCCCCTCGGGACCTCGAGCCGACCGACGTCGGATTCGACGGCTTCCGGACGGTCGCTGCCGTCGGAACCCACTAAGGATCCGCGTCATAGCAGGCCGACGCCCGAACGAAGGCATCCCCGACGCTGCGGAGGCACCTCCCCAGTCCCGATCCCGGCGCATAACACTCAGACGCCATCGCGAGCGCCGCGAAGAAAAGCCCATGCAACGACTGCACTGTGCCGCTTCAGCAGCAAACTCAGAGTAAATACCCCGGCCAG